AGGTAAATAGTTTAACATTATTGAATTCTTACAATTTCTCTTTCCTGTTTACCATTTTGTGTTTATCTTGTGTCTTGTATATGAAAGTCAGATTTTCTTTTCAGCTCTGGTGTTTTCATCAGGAGTGACTGAATGTCCTATATTTTATTAAATATCCATTTTTCCTCTGAAAGACTGGGTAGGTGATTCTTGGTTGTAATTCCAAGCTCTTTTGCCTTCTGGAATATCATATTCCAAGCCTTTCAGTCCTTTAATGTAGAAGCTACTAAATCTTGTGTTATCTTGACTGTGGCTCCATGATATCTGAATAATTTATTTCTGGCTGCTTGCAGTATTTTCTCTTGACCTTGGAGCTCTAGAACTTGGCTGTAATATTCCTGGGAATTTTCATTTTGGGATTTCTTTCAGGAGGTGATCAGTGGGTTCTTTCAATTTCTATTTTACCCTCTCAGTCTAGGATAGCAAGGAAGTTTTCCTTGATAACTTCTTGAAATATGATGTCTAGGCTCTTTCTTTGATCATGGTTTTCAGGTAGTCCCATAATTTTTAAATTATTACTCCTCAGTCTATTTTGTGGATCAGTTGTTTTTCCAAAAAGATATTTCACATTTTCTCCTATTCTTTCATTCTTTTGATTTTGTTTTATTGTTTCTTGATGTCTCATAAAGTCATTAGCTTCCACTTACCCAGTTCAGATTTTTAAGGAATTATTTTCTTCAGTAAGTTTTTGTATATCTTTTTCCATTTGGCCTATTCTTCTTTTAAAGGAGTTCTTTTCTTCAGTGAATTTTTGTACCTCCTTTTCCATTTGGCCTATTCTGCTTTTTAAAGAGTTTTTTCTTCTGTGATTTTTTTTGTACCTTTTTTTTTAACATTAGATCAATTCTGTTTTTTTTTAAGTTGTTATTTTCTTCAGTATTTTTTTTTTTTTGGTGCCTCCTTTACCAAGCTGTTGACTCTTTTTTCATGATTTTCTTGCATCAAATTTCTTTTCCTAATTTTTCCTCTACCTTTCTTATTTGATTTTTAAAACCCTTTTTGAACTCTTCTAGGGCCTATGACCAATTCAGATTTTTCTTTGAAGCTTTGCATGTAGCTGCTTAGATTTAGTTTTCTTCTTCTTAGTTTGTGTTTTGATCTTCCCTATCACCATAATAACTTTGTGTGGTCAGGTTCTTTTTTGTAGTTTGTTCATGTTTCCAGCCTATTTCTTCACTTTTAACTTTATGTTAAAGTTGGGTCTATCCCTAGGGTGCAGGGGGCACTGTCCTAAGCTTCAAAATTTTTGTGCTGCTTTTTTCAGAGCTAGTTCTAGTAAGCATTCAGTTCCTCCAAGGTAGTGTGATCTGAAGAGAGATGTGGTCACTATTCTCCTGGTCTGTGAGCAACCACAAACACTCTTTTCCATTCTGAGACTGTAACCAGGGTCTCTGCTTCTGCTTGTGCTCCTTGCTTTGGGATTGCAACCTGGAACCATGTATGAGCAGTGCACCCTTCTCCCAGTGCCAAGAAAGGATCCCTTGTAATTTCAGTCTGACATCCTCACCTGGTCTGTGGGCTGAGAGCTCTGGGAACTGCTGCCACCAATTTAGTCACCCCCAAGGCCTGTTGCTGGCTTGCTAGGCGAGGCTTGTGTTGGCATGGCCTGGGTTGGACTGCACATCAGTCTCATCCCAGTGAGACACATCTTTCCTGGTGATGTTCTAAGTTATCTTTGGCTGTCAGATTGTTTTACCCCATCCTTTTGTTGGTTCTGCCACTCCAGAATTCGTTTTGAGGAGTTATTTTAAGGTTATTTGGGGGGAATTTTGGGAGATCTCAGGCGATTCCCTACTTTTTACTCAGCCATCTTGGCTTCTCCCATCTGGATAGTATTTTCTTACTCATTTCTTGAAGAAAGTATTCTGTTGTATCATTGTTCCTCTGTTTTTATCCTTAAAGTACTTTGTGCAATGTGTCATTTGTCTTCATCTGTGTCTACCTTGTGTTATATACTTCACCTGTGTACATTCTTTTGTCTTTATATTTTCAGTTCTCAGCACAATTCCTTGCACATAATAGTCTCTTTCTAAGTCCTTCTTAGATTGTAGTGGAGTGGATTATTTTCCAGTAAAAGCCTCAGGTCTGTTTCATGTGAACTGTTGTCCACAGTGCTGGCGTAGTTTTTTGTACATAGAAACACAAAGTTTCTGTCTAATCTACAAACTTTTGACTGAGCTAACAGAAGCTAGAAGCAAGATAGAACAAAAGATGAACACTTCCCCAAAATGGCTTCATCCTGTTGAAATAACGTCAACAATATTAAAGTTTAGAATGAGCTGTTCCTCCAGAGGAATGTTAAGGACAACAAAAGAGATTTTATATTATTTTATTTATTTTTTATTCAGGAAAAGAAGATCAGCAAAGAAGGGATAGGATCAGTGCAGGGTGGATGGATGAAGATAAACAATGAGCAGCCAGGGTTACTCCATTCTTTGCTGCTGTTCTACTAAGCAGAACAAGTATTGGAATAGGACAGAAAAAAAAACAGTTAATGAAGAATTGACACCCCCCAAAATGGGGAGATAGTAGAAACTAAGTCCAAGTCACCAGGACAAATGAAATCCATCCCATGCATAATACTGAAAGGACTGGTGAATGTAATTACTTAGCCATTATCAATTATCCTTGAAAAATAGGAGAGAATAAGACACATGTCACAGAACTAGAGAAAGGCAATAAGCACAAAAGGGAAGAAAGTAAAATCTTAAGCTGTAGGTCATGTGTTTGAGTTCTTGAAAAAATTCTAAGACCTATTAAAAAAAGATGATTAATATATACTTAGGAGAGGGAGCAGTAATCACAAAAAGCTAACCCAAGGTCCTCAGAAACAGGTCAAAGCAGACTAACTTCTTTTTCTTTCATTTAAAACTAGTATTTGTTAAGCATATACTGTGAGCCAGGCACTAACTGCTGAAGATACAGAGGTGAAATGGAAACAATCCTACTGTTCATTCTGTTTCTGCTTAAAAGAATAAACATTTAATAAATGTTTGTTGATTGCTGATTGTCTTGTAAATGGAGAAATGAATGAAATAAAATTGGTGATTTCTCCAAAAATGAGAAACTTCATCTTTTCAGGATACATGATTTGGGAATATTATTCATGGAAGTTCTTTTAGGAAACATGCAGATATTTAATTATTTAAAGTAAACTTTTGAATGCTCCTGGGTTAGCAATAGTTACAACATATAGATCCCCAAATTAAAGCAAGAATGCAACAAATAAACATGAAAGTAATCCCACACTGAAGGAAAATGTGCAGCTCAGAATTTCATGATGAATCAGATTCTTTGAAGCCTTCTCTATTCTTCCCCAGAGTCTATTAATAGAGGGTCACACGAATGGATGTGGTTTCCAAAGTTTCAGCAGTAACATCTGCTGCATAACAGCCCAGTTATGAGCACATCTAAGGAAACATCTGTAAATATTGCCTGGGAACTGTTTTTTCTCCTAATTTTTTCTTTTGTTTTTAGGGTGTATATTAGCATATTTGTTCTATTAGCTGTGGTAATATGCTGTAGTATTTTGTAGGTGACAATGATGCTTCCTTAATATAACACCAAGAATTTCTAGGACCCAGAGGAAATAATGATGATCATGATATTGTTATTATTAACCAACACTAATCTAGTGCTTTATAATTTTTCATCATCACAGAACCTCATGGCCAGAAATTGGCTCCCCATTGTTCTACTGTCGGATTAACAGCAGGTGTAGAATATTGTACATATTTTGTATAACCTCAAGAAAGGACAAATCTGTACATTCTCTAAGGACTCTCAAGGCCCTTGTCCCTAATTACACAAATGTTACCTCGTTTAATTATAATAACAATCCCATGAAATTGGTGGTATTATTAAGAGTCAAACCCAGGTTCTCAGCATCCAAATTGAATGGTTTTCTTTCCATAGGAGGCTACCTTAACTGTCCATGGCTCATCAGCCATTTCTTTCTCTTCTTAGGAATAGGCTTCAGTTTCCTTGTTGTAGGAATTGCTGAAGCAGTAAAAGAATGCAAACTTACCCCTTGCATCCCCACAACCCCCATTTCCAATACATTTCTTTGTCCCCCTAATAACACAGACCAATAGAGCTCTCTCCCTCACTACCATGAGGGTTAGTTTATCAAGCAAACATAAGATCAAGTTGGACGACAAGGCAGTAGATGGAATCAGAAAATGTCTTTTGTAGAATATGATGCTTGAGCTGAATCTTGGAGGAAGCCAAGATAACTAAGAGATATACGTGAGGAGGGAGAACTTTCCAGGCAGGGGGTCAGCCAGTGCAAAGGCACCAAGTTGGAAAATGAAATGCTATGTGCAATGAGAGCAAGTAGACCAGTAGGACTGGCCTATAGGGAGTGTAGAGGGGAGTAGTGTGTAAGAAGAGAGGAAAGGTAAGAAAGAGCCAGAATGTGAAGAGCTTTTCATGCCAAACAGAGAAGTTAGTGTTTATAATAAGGAACCACTTGAATGTTGTAATGGAGGGCAAGGAGTAGATAGTAATCAAACTTTTTAAAGGATCAGTTTAGAAAATGTTTTTTTTAATATGTTATTTAGCTTTATTTTTAAAAAAGCAAATAAAAACTACCTAAAACTTAGTAATTAAGGTATAATTGGGCAGATATCAACATTTTTAGATTTGGGTTTTTGTTGAGTGATATGATAGGTTATAAGTCTTTTATCTTGTATACATAACTCATTGCTAGACTTCATATTTATAACTCATGTGAGAAAGTCTATGAGTATCAGAAAACTAAAAAGCAAATTTGCATATTTGGCCACATTAGACACACAACTATAATTTTTCTGTAGCAACAGATTGTGTTTTAATATTGTTTTGTACAATTGGATTCATCTGTTATTTGTGTCTGGGAATAGTAGAAACAAATGGGATGGTCCGTGGAGCACATAGTCAAAGCTGAATGGGAGTATTTACAGATATCTTTTATTTTGTAGGTGGGACTCTTTCCTGGTCACTGTGTCGAGTTAATTAACCAAAAAGTTCCTCAGTCAGTGACAAACTCAGTGCCAAAACCAGGTAAGTCCTTTTACTTATGTGAATTTTAAAAAAAAAAAAGGATTTTAAGTCACATTTTTTTCTTCCGTTTAGGTTCATAGTTTGTTTTGCTACTTTGCATCCGGATCTCAATTATTGGTATTCATGTACACTGTACACATATATAACTGATTTTATTTGTTTTTCATTGTTTATCTGTCTCTGATCATTTTACATCATTTTGCATATGCTTAGATGGCTTAAAGGATTTTACTAAATCTTTTTTTGGCTTTTTAAATTTTTCTAAGTATAGATTGCTAATAAAGTGAGAGATAATATAGATGTTTTGGTCTGAAAAAAATTAGTAAGAAGATGAAATTTTCTGAGGATTAATATATGAAGGAAATTTTTATTTCATCAGTGTCCTAGGAATCCAAAATACTACATAAAGGAATATTGTAGATTTTCAGGGACCTGTTTTGAAATCAGTGTTACGTGTGGTATGTGACATAGTATAGTAATAACAAGCATATAATTCAAATTAATTAAGGGAACGTTTTTATTTTTCATTAGGTTAGTGCTTAAATAAAATTTCAAAATCTATGAAGCCCAGAACATTTTGATGATATATTTGATTTTTATATCATATAAAAGTATACATATGTGCATGGCCCTGGAAAAGGAACCCTTCCTTAGAGACTTTTTTCAGAGAAAGGAGGTGTACAATTTAGGGGAAAAAAAAATTCCCCCCTGCATTTTCTGGTTTGGCAGGTAAGCAAAGGGACAAGCTATCCAAGAGCCATGTGTCTGTTTTGCCAGCAGCATCAATTTGTTCCTTTTAAAAGTATGATTTGGACGTGATTTGGACAAAAATAATGTGTTTTCATAAAACTGTCTTCCAGACCAAGGTCCAATAGTAGGTATAGAAGTAGTCTAGTTCTTTAGCCTTGGCTATTTTCCCAGCTCATTTCATAGTGTGCCAGGCTGACTTGGCTTGAAGCGATTTAGTTTCTGGTTAGAGAAGTGTGGATCTTATATTCCATTTAAAAACACTGAATTAGCAGGCAAGTTTTTGTGTTCCAATCATGCCTGGAAAATTATCCAACTTTTCTTCAATTCTCCTCATCCTTTAGCTTGTAGGAATTTGTCCATTTCACATAATTCCTTAACTGTCTGCCTAACAGTAGAAGGGATACTCTGATTTTTATGGCATTTTTACCCACTTTTATTTGTAGATACTAGAAATTGTAAATTCCCTGCTTCAAAATTGGTTGAAATGAAACATACCATACTCTCTAGGGATTTTGAGTGGCTAGGTGGCGCAGTGGATAGAACACTGGGCTCTTGTTATGTGACCCTGACCAAGTCACTTGACCCTATTTGCCTTGGTTTCCTCATCTGTAAAATGAGCTGGAGAAGAAAATGGTAAACCACTCCAGTATCTTTGCTACAAAAACCCCAAATGGTGTCACAAAGAGTAAGATATGACTGATAAATAGACAACAACAACAGGGATGTTAGCTGGCATAAATATATCCTGTAGGCAGTATATGTAATATTGTGCTATCAATTGTATCACTAACCAACTTTCTTATTAGGCATGTCCTAACTGAAACCATTCAGGCCCAGTTTTCCTTATCTATAAAATAAGGAAGGTAGACTAATAACCTCTACAGTCCCATGGCTCTACAATTTTAGAAGTTGGAAATTCAGAGGCTTCTTGAAAAATATTCCCTAGAAAAGTCTTCTGAAATATGGCTTAATATACGCTCAGTTTTTGAGCCCTGGACCTGAATTCAGGAAGACTCAAATTCAAATTTAGCCTCGAACACTTACTAGCTATGTTACCCTGGGCAAGTTCCTTAACCTCTGCCTGCCCCAGTTTCCTCACCTGTCAAGAGGGATAGTAGCACCAACTCCTGGGATGAAATGAGATTACATTTGTAAAGCACTTTGGGAGCCTTATGGTACCACATAAATGCTAACTATTATTAATATAATAAATGTTTGTCAGTGCTGATAATGGCCATAAATTGGTGGTTAATAGTTTTTACTGAAATAGTGAATTCTTGAAATAGTGTAGATTAACCGTTTATAGTTAGAAGTTTCTTTTTGCTAACAGCAGCATAAAAAGGTCAGTGTGTAATATTTTACCATATTGGTAGCACAAAATACATATACTTTAAAATGCTAAATTATAAAATTAGAACATTGACTAGAAAATAATTGCCTCATCATTCTGATCCTATCTAACATCCTTTTGTCAATAAACCCAAACACATTAATATGAATCCATTATTAACTCCTCTAATAGTGAATTGCATCTGAAAACTTTGATTTTTTTTTTCTACAGTTCAACCTATGTAGAAATAGCAGTAGCAATTAGGACTGAGCCCTGATCTAGCAATTAGCCCTGTAGAGGCAGCTAGGTGGCGCAGTAGATAGAGCACCGGCCCTTGAGTTCAAATACGGCTTCAGACATATAACACTTACTAGCTGTGTGTCCCTGTTAAGTTAAGTCACTTAACCCCACTGCCTCGCAAAAAGCAAAACAAAGTAATTAGTACTGTGCCTGTCATGTTGTAATGAATGCTTGTTAAGTTACTGAATGACCGATCAAATCCATATCTTGTTATTTCAAGGATCAAAATGTAAATTTATTCTGGATGTTGAAAATAAACCCTAACAATTCACCTTTGAGAGGGCCAAGATGAAACAGTTTGGCCATGGATATGGAACTCTACATTTGTTGTTAGAACAGGTACTAAAGTATACATAGATCTTTTAGGCCAGACCTTAGCAGGTACTAGGAAATGAACACTGTTGGTTCAAGTTATTTGGAAATATACTTTGAATTACCAGCAAAACCCCAAGTGACTTAAAATAAGTTATTTGACATTTGATCATTTTTCATAATTCTTTTTAATTTAGCAGACATTTATGAAGGGCAACACTGTGTCAGGTCCCAAGTGAACTAACATACATTTCATATTTTAGAAAAATACATCCTGTAGCATTCATTTATTGTTCAATGAATACTTCACTTCATCTGCATTAATAGTAAAGCCAGTAAGAGATTATAAAAGACCTAAGTGAGCTTTGGGGCTTGGTCAGGAATAGTTACAGAATTCCAAAACCTGATTTTTCTAAAAGAACTGATCAATCACCATACTATACTTTGAAGGCAAGGTAGGGACTCTATTCCCCACTTTCCAGGCAAAGAAAATAATTAATAATGAGATAAAATAGGATAGATGGGATAGAATATTGAATTTAACCCAGCAATTAAATTTAAAAACTGTCTACATCTCAAAGCAATATGCTTTCTAGAGGGATAGAGACTTACGTCAGCATATGCCATATCCAGCCACTGTGGTCCTTTGAAAGAGAACTCTGTATTTACAGTCAACAATACTTGGAGTCAAGTCCTAGCTTTCTAGTAACTACTTGTTTCTTCTTGGGCAAACTAATAAACCTCTGTAGACCTCGCTTTTCTTACAGGGGTTGGATTAGATGACTTTTGACATCACTTCCAACTCAGTAAAATATGAAGTGAAAAACTGATAGGTCATGTAAACGAATTCCCTTAGACGATTATGAAATTGCTTTCATTTTTCTGGATGATATCCTTAAAATAAGAGACATGGTTCAAAATGAAAAGGCTTATGTGTAAATTCAAAATATACTTAATTATTTAAATATTTAGAAGCATATCACAACCTTCAAAGTTATACACTGGACTTCATTGGTTCCTGGGTCCATTTAAACTTTATCATCTAATGATTAACTTTCTGGTAAGAGAAACTTTGCTAAGCTTATCTTCAAATGACAAAAATTCTTTCTCTTAGCTTCTCTTCAAAGTTTTTTACAGTTTAGTGTGACCTTCCAGAGTTGGTAATCCTCTTAGCACAGCTTTCAAGGACCTAGAGTCACCTCAGTATCACAATGCAGTACTAGAGGACTACGCTGTGGTTTTTTTAGTAGGTTTAATTGATGCGTTTTATCTTTACATCACAATTATTTCTCATATCCACCTCCTCCTAACCCCACTCCAGACTGAATCTTCTGCTGTGACAAAGAAAGAAAAATTCAATGAAAATATCCGATATCATCCTACACAATTTCCAATAGAGTATTGTCCTACTAGTCCCCTACCTCTCCATATGGAGGAACTTGTTAAGTCATTTAGTTTTGTCCAACTCGTTATGACCCTTGGACCATATCATGTTAATACTGTCCATGGGGTTTTCTTGGTAAAGATACAGGAGTGGTTTGCTATTTCCTTCTCCAGGGGATTCAAGCAAACCAAGGTTTAGTGACTTGCTCACAGTCACACAGCTAGTAAATGTCTGAGGGCAAATTTGAATTCAGGTCTTTCTGACTCCAGGCCCAGTACTCTATTCACTGAACCACCTAGCTACTTCCTATTGAGGAACTAGGTGTGTTTCGTTATCTCTTTTAATTTTCATTTGCTCTGAATTTAACTTCCTTTTAGTTATCTTTTCATTTAAATTGTAGTAGTCATTGTGAACATTAATCTGTTGGATTCTCATGATTTCATTCTGCTTCTAGTTCTTTAAAAATCTTCCCATATGAAGGTTTTCCATGAAGGGATGAGAAGAGGGATATATTTGGAAATGAAGGTGATGTTAGAACAAAATTATGAATACTATTTTAAAAAATCTTCCCACATTTCTGAATTTCTCAAGTTTATAATGTCTTATTTTGCAGTAATATTCTATTTACATTTTTCAGCCAACCTTCAATTGATGAACACTTACTTTGTCTTCAGTTATTTGTTAGCAAAAAAGTGCTAACATAGGACTATTTTTGGTATATAGTAAAACTTCATTTCTGGCTTTGACTTCCTTGAGATATATATCCAGTAGTGAGATTCCAGGTTCAGGGGGCATGGACAGTATCCTCATTTTTCTTGCCAAATCTAGAAATTTCTACTTAACAGTTCTATCAACAGTGTACCAGTGTACCTGTCTTCCTACAGCCCTTTCATTATTGAATATTCACATTTTTGGCTGTGTCTT